CTAACATAGGCCTATTATTCAAAACTATTAGTATACCTTCATTTTTTACTATAATCTACAAAATGCAGCTGTCGAGGGGAATTTCTCGAGCAAATATACAATAAGAGGGCGGTTGCTGCACATATAAGACAATTAATGGATTTGTTTTTTCATTTTGCTACAAAGGATAAGGAATATTTTTTCGTTTCGCTTTACAACTTATATTGACAAAAATAACAAAATTTGAGTTCCTACGTAAGCGGGTTCACCCTAAACAAACCTCTGGCGAAAAATTGATTCTTGAGCTTTCTCATGAGCTGCTTTCATCCACATATTGTGCATTTGTCCTTTAATGATCAAATCCTTGGCTAAGGACTTGTTGACTATCTGGTAGGCTTGTCGAGCCTAATCTCATAAACATTATCAGATATAATTCGTATTAGGAAGCTGAAAAGTTCACTAATATTGATGAACTGAGCATAGTCCCATGCATATAATGATACAAATGCTCGGTTTTTCAGAGAATAATCATTCGCCCATCATCACACTTTCAGAGTACATACCTTCTCAAAGTATGCATTGCGTATGCGTGCATGATCACGAGCTTCCTCCCACATTTCAGAATACATATTTGCTGCCAGCTCAACAAAATTAAACCACAAGGGCATGAAGAAAACAAAAGAATCCAATTTACTCGGAATATAAAATATATACAAATTGAGCTTTTAATCCTCACTTCCTCAGTGCATTTTTTCAATGCGCAATTTCGCTTTTTTTTATTAGAATATTACAACTAATTCCTTATAACCATGACAGAGTCACATTTTACAGGTTGGTTCTCCATTTTAACTTATTTCAATTTCATATTTTAAATTTTCTGAGTTTCCACTGTTACTAATTTAAATGGTTACGGATAGATTCTTTAACTATTTCATTCAGAAACAGAACAAGTTAGACATATCAGCGAATAAATTACCACGATTTTGCACAGCGTTGCTGCAAATGCCCCTGCCTTGTCCACTGTTATACGAGCTTCCGAGTAATTGTAAACTTCTACTGGACCCAACGCTTGTGGCTGAAGAACCCTTTTTCTCATACGCCCAAATGCTAGAATCTTGTGACGCCATTTTTTCCACAGCCGAGCCTAAATCTATAGCCCTTCTTGACTGAGCGGATGGAAATGGACTAAAAAATAGTGTGCAATCCTTTCCGAGACCATTTCGAACATTTGTCAAACAGAGAGCAGGAAAATCCGAGCCACTAAGATTTGTGGTGGGCAAGTTCTTTGAATTAAGAATTTGATTACAGCCTCTGTTCATCTCGGCCTGAAGCCACAACACAAGTACATGTATGTAAAAATTAAAGAGCTATGGCTGATTAAGATCCATCAGCTGAAAGGAGAATAACTATTTTTCCGCAATAAGATATATCCATAATATGCAACAAATTTAGTTCCCAAATCCCAACACAGCCATACGTCCTTTACTCCATTTTCAAAAAAACTCACTTGTTTAATCTGTTTGGAGTAAATTTCCATAATATATCGTGCCTAAGAAAATCTAACCTAGCTGTTAAATTTCACCAAGNAACGTTGGGTTTTCAAACCTTATGGCTTATATAGCTAAGATACATAACCGACAAAAATCTTGCCGTATCTTCCGTAATAGACAATATAAAAATCACGCAACATCTATGAAGAAATAGCCCATACCTCAAGCTGAGTAAGCATCTCGATTGTTAGATTCAAGTCACCACCATTGGCAAAATACACCTCCATAAGACTTTCGGCTGAAAAACCAGGAAAACGGGAAGCTAGAAATACAATTGGGTTCAAATCTATGAAGAAATAGCCCATACCTCAAGCTGAGTAAGCATCTCGATTGTTGGATTCAAGTCACCACCATTGGCAAAATACACCTCCATAAGACTTTCGGCTGAAAAACCAGGAAAACGGGAAGCTAGAAATACAATTGGGTTCAAATCTTCATTCTCCATCATCAATTGCTCATTTGACACATCCGTACAGAAATCGACTCTTGAATTCCCATAATAAGAATATCTGTCTTTTGCAAGAAGCCGACCATCATTCCCAATTCTCTCATCCCAACATTTATCAAAAGATCCCCGAAAACCCAAAGGCGCTCGACGTTCTCCACGAGACGAGCCAACAATTCTTTGCTTTTCAACGTAATTGTTACCATTAAAAAGATCAGATGATATATCTTGCTGTTCAAGAGCAGAATGTTCTTTACCATCCATTAATGATAAGCTTGAAAAGGATAAACCATTGATTTCTTGACTAGTATTATCTAAGCCTGTCGCCTCAAAATCGAGAGTAAGGTCATCTGGGAGAAGAATGTCTGCAGCTCGTGATCTGACTCCAAGAGGAACAAATTCTCTGGCATTTGGATTCAAAGTTTCTTTTTTTGCATAATTGGTCTCTCTGTTACCACTAGAAACTTCCTTTCCCAACAAGTTCGCGACTTTTTCGTTATTTTCCATGTTTGGTATTCAATCAGCTCAGAAAGTAGTCAGTTCTTAGGTTAAAATAAATGAAGCATTGGTAACGAGAGTGTTTAGTCAAACCCTGCAATTGAATTCTTCCAAGTCAGGACTCAAAATCATGACCAATAAACAAGAACTTCTATGTCTATCAATACAAAGAACAAAAACAAATATCACAAGGGATATATATTGATCAAGATTCAATTGGCTACCTGCTTAGATGAAGGATCAAGACAATAAAGACATTCAAAATCTGTTTGAGAACCAACTCACAGTAGATAAAATTTTAGTTTCATTAAAAAACATGACTAGCAGCAAATAAGCAACAGATGACAATAAATGAGCACCCATAATCACGATAATCAAGAATCAGGTAATAATCTCACTAAAGAAAGAGCTGTTATTTGAAATACTTCATTATTGTACTATTTTTTTTTCAATAAAATAGAAAAGAAATAAAGATCTCTTTAACTTCTGAACCATGAAAAGGAAAAGACAGAGATATACCTTTTGCAAGCTCTGTAGTGAAAGAACCCACATCAAACGCCATTACCGCACAAACAAGCTAAACAAAATAGTTTATCGAGTTGTGACTTGTGAGCGGAGCTGAGGGCAGAGAGGGTTTCTCTATTTTGTCTTATTTATTGCAGGTTTTTTTTTTTACCCTCTTTTCTCCCCTCCCATTTCTATTTTGTAACCTTTTTCCCTTTATTTTATGGCTCCATATAATTACTGTTTTATAATAATATAAATAATTATTAGTACAATTACAATTTAGTATTGGAGAAGACAGTCCAAAAAAAAATATTTGAAAAATAAAGTATCAATCAATAAGAAATAGTTCCTCAAAGATGATTCTTGATGGAAAATGCTATATGTACATAATAAATGTAGTACATAACACTCACATGGAGTAGGTCCACTTGATTTTTTTATTTTTGGTAGGTTCCACACAATGTGAGTGTTATGTACACTTCTATATACACTTTTATGTACACGTAGCATTTCCCATTTTTGATATATATTAGAACTCCGAGCTATGTTGACAAAATAAAACTCATTGCATGAGGTTTTATAATCCGTAGAAATGTTGTTAGTCAAACTTAAATGTTATGATACTACCATAGATAGCGGTTCGCGGAGGATCTGGCGTGGGTCGGGGTTAACTGCAGCTCAGCGCGATCTCCTGCGAGGTGGAGGAGCTCGGCGCTAGCATCCTCCCCGGCACCTTTTAGGTGAGTAGAAACTAGGCGGGAGGCTAGCTTGGCATGGGTACTTAGGCGGAATACCAGAAGTTGGTAAGCTAGGCGGAATACCAAAGGTTGGTGAACTAGGCAGAATACTAGAGGTTGGTAAGCTAGGCGAAATAGCAGAGGTTGGTAAGCTAGGCGGAATACTAGAGGTTGGTGAGCTAGGCGGATGAGATCATCTAGGCACCTCTGGGGGCTTACATGTGTAAGTACGGATTTCAGATGAGTAGGAGTTAGGCGGGACTAGCTTGGCAAGTGTATTCGATAGTATTTCACTAAGGAAAATTCAAAGCCACAAGCTATCTATCCTGATGCAATGACGATTCATCAGACTCTCAAGTATTGCATACATGCATTAATTTCATTCATGTGGCGGGATTGCAAGAAAAATTGGTTTTGTACCGATTTAACGGTTCCATTTTCATAAGTGAAAGACCTAAAAATTCTCAACACTATTTTAAGGTGAATGAGAAATTAATTATAAGTTTTATATGTGGGAAATGTAAGGTTGAAGCAATTGAGTTTAAGTAACTCAAATGATTGAGCTCGCAAAACATGATGTCTTTGACGAATGTTAGGATAATCCTAATGAGACCTGATCATGCAGCTTGCATGGTATAACTGTAGAAGGGTTTGTTGGGGACGAGTAGAAAAAAATGAAACTTGATTCCGAGTCTGGATGAGCTGAGCCTGCTGCGCACGGATGCACAGCTGGCCGCGACCAACGAAAGGTTGCGACCCTTGGTGACCATAAGGTGTCATTTAACCTCTAGATGCGTCCGTTCTTGTTCGAGTACGTCCCAAAAGATGTCTTTTGACAGTTACACTACTTGGAGAAGTTTTTATATATCTATAAATATCCACATACATGAAATTATTCAAAACTTAAAAATTTAAAAGCTCTTGCATTTTATTTTCAAAGTTTATAAAGCATATTGTGTTCTTTGATTTTTTTTCGTTGAATATTGAGAGTTCCAAACAATAGTATTGTTCACCGAAGGCTTGTATATTTGAAGTACTGCTAATATACAAGTCGAAAGTCATTGTATCTTAGTGGCGTTTGTCGTTAACCGTAGGTATTTTACTGGGCAATTTCGTCCTAAGTAGACGTAACTATTACGATTTTTCTTTNCACACAAAATACATGTTGTTTCACGGATGCAATTTCTTTTATTCTAATTTATATCATCGTTAGACAAGGAAAAAAAAAAAGATGAAATGCAAGTAATCAGATCCATTCTATTTCAGTGAAAACGTTGTGGCTCGAAAGGACCAATCCACAGGGCCCAACGGAACCAGTTGATAAGGTGTATGGGCCGTATGAGCACTTATCATTTCAAATCGAAATGTTTTGTGGATGCTGATGAATGAATTTGATAAGCTGTTAAATCATAGTTTTATCGTTTTTTGTTTGGCATGCTGTACTTGATAAACGAATTTCATGTATATAAATGATTGAATTAATTAATTTTGGATGGAAATCCAAATTTTCATTTAAAAAACGTATAAATATTTTGTCGATTGTTTGGTAACTAGACTGTTAGTGTCAAATTAGTTTTTTTTTTTTAAATAGTTGCTATAACTAATTATTGGATTTAAATTGTCAACTTTAAAAAAGTTGGCAGAAAACCTTTTTAGATTAGAGGACTAAACATTTTAAATAAAATTATAGTTTTATCCCAATATACTTGCTGCAAATAAATTTGGCTTGTTAGGATGTTTTTTTCTTTCTCTCTAAATGCTTGATATTATCTTAGTAGAATTATATATAGCTTTCAAAAAGGCCTATTTAAATTTTTATTTCAATTGATTTATTAACTAATTTTATCATACTTTACCATATCAGTTGGTTTTTCACTAAATATTGTATTTGGTAAAACTAGCAAAATAGCTAGTTGATGACTGATAATCTAGATGATAACTTATAAGTGAATTTCGAGCTTATATCTAATATCTTATGTCTGAAAACTAGCTGATATAATAAAAGTGTTCGGTAAAATTAGTTGATAAGCCAACATAAATAAAATTTTCAACTGACTTTTATGAAAAACTACCTAATGAAGCTTATGAGATTATGCTTTTTAAGAAAATCTCGTTCTACCTAATCAAGTTTATTTGAGTACAAATAGCTTATAAGCTAATTAAATAATGTATGGTAAACCTAACTGATAAGCTATCTGATAACAGATAAGTTAACTGATAGTTGATAAGTGAATTTCGAGCTTATAGCTGAAAATCTAGTTGCTATAGTAAAAGTGTTAAAAATTTCAACGAGTTTATTTGAAAAGCTACCCAAAGAAATTTATGATATAAACTTGATATTAAAAAAAAAAAAACTTGTCCTATTAAACCAAGTTTATTTGAATGCATGAACTTTATAAGCTAATTAAATAAGTTATAAGCTAGCTTATAGTGCTTATCAAACACACTCATAGCCTAAGTTATAAGTAGTTTATGATGCTTATCAAATACCCTATGGGTCTGTCTGGTTAAATGGATTGTGCACGATATCATACCATTTCATAACATATCCATCCTATTAACATGCTTGGTTCCACTAAATAAACCCTTGAAGTAATACATGGCTCAATTAGTTATTAACATCTTTCAGTATTAGTTTATCCCACCTATGGGGTGGGATGTGTAATCAATCACTGTTTTGATTTCAAATTTACATAAATGAGCACACTTATTTTCTTCCCCAATTTTCCCTTCTCGAAGCCGTACTCACCTATGAGGGAGGCCGGCTTATCCAGCGCTGTTGTCAAGAGCAACCTAGAAGATGCCTCTATCTCTTTTGTTTTCCAATGCTACAGTACCTTCGATGGAATATACTCCACTCCCAACTTGCCACCTCCCAAAACCCACCACCTCATAAACCCCTTCTAGCAGTCCCCTCACCTGCTGTACGACCAAAGCCCTTACCTCATTTCCCCGCCGAAGAAAGCCTGACTCTGGTTGCTCATCCTTGGATGAGGACATCCAGGTTTTAACGGAGGTTCTTTTGTGGAGAAGGAAAAACACGATCATCATCGGTGATTCCTTCTCCATGATTTCTTGGCCAACCGCCGCCACCGCTGCTGCACGCTACCACCTCCCCTTGACCCTGAAAACTTTTCCCCCAAGTTGTTATTTTAAATTTGTTAGTGTAATTTCAAATTGAGGAGAAAAATAGAATTGGGGAAATGTATAACTAGGTTGAAGAATTGAAACTGTTTAATGAATTTACAATGTCATGGAAGAAATCTAAGTTTTGGTATGGGGACAAGATCTGAAAATTTAATTGTAAATGGAGGGCAAAAAAGTAATCTTAACTTAAAAGTTATTATTATCAACAATGGGATAGTTGAATTGATAGATAAGCTTTGATAAAATCAAGAAGATTATATCAAGTCCAATCACCCTGTGATAATAACCTCTATACGAAATGCTGATATGGATAGAAAAAGAGTTGTTCGCATAGCATTTACTAACCAAACCCACCCTATATGTATTAGCTGAATTTCACTTATAAACTATCAACATGTATAACCAACGACAGGAAAAACTATTGTTAGGTAGATCTAATGATTAGACCCAATTTTTTTAAAAAAATATGCATAGTTTTTAAACCGAAAATGTGGCATTTGTGAAGTTAAAACCTCAGTCGAACAGCGTCAATTTGACAACAGGTGAAACATTCACTTGTTGCCAAAGGGCCGTACGTCTTTTGGATGAGATTTCAATTTTCAATATCTATTGCATCATAATGTGTGTGAAAAACTGAAACTAAATAAACTGACATTAACTGTGTTGCTAAAAATCAACCCTTTTCATATTCGGCACTGTATTTACTTCATACATTTCTCCATCACATATTATTAATGAGTAGTATATCATTAGTTAAGGTTTAGAGCATCTCCAATGTTATAGCTTTGAAAGACAATGATTTTTAACACATGTCAATCAATGATTGTAATGTTAATCCATGTAGGAGTAATGTTAAAAGAGTAGAAATTTTAAGTCAAACTAGTATCTCCAATGCATCAATTTGATAAGAAGTTATTTGTATATGTGGACCAATTAAAATAATCATTAATACAAGAATAATAAAAAATTAAATCAAATATAAAATTGAATAGATTAGTCATCATGTTTAACATGGTGTTAGATATTAGAAAGTATGTTCAACATTGTCAACATTAAATACTATCCACCTCATCATGAAAGAGTTCATGACAAGATGCATTGGAAAATAAATTAGTAATACACTTTCAAAAGTTGATGATATAGATGAATTTATATGAAGTCAAAAGTCACATTGGAGATGCTCTTAACGACGTAAACCTTTGCACTGTGAATAACCCGACGGTCAATCCGCACTCGAAATGCACATATTTTTCAACTAAGATGAATAAACAACACGTGGCCGGTGGCCCAATAACACACACTTCGCAAACCGTAAATTACGTGGCAGTGATCAACCGGACTGGTGCACCACAATTACCCAGTTAGAAAACCACCTGATCGCACCTTGCCCCAACATCCGGTAAAAAAACGCCCGGAAAAATTACCGTTTTTCTCTCCACCGCCAATCATTGGACGCAGCAATTTTTGTCTCTAATACTCGCACACTAAAAAACGTGCACAGTTGGCAGAAAGAGTTCACAATTTGCATCCAACTTTTTCTTCTCCTAAAAACACCAAAATTGCCAGTCCCATTATATATCTCTTGTTAGTCTTTTCAGTTTGTCGATACACACGTATACATATATTGTTCTGCAAACAGAGCCGAAAAGGGCTCGCCGGAAATGTATACGGTGTTCAAGCGTCTGCTCATCGGCGGCGAGATTGTTGACGAGGAAGGCGACTGGGAAAAAGAGAGATAAATATAATAAAAAAATCCAAAAATCCAGAAAAAAGAGCAGAAATTCAGAAGAAAAGAAGTGCAGAAAATAAAGGGGAAATCGAAAAAAGGGGCCGTTGATATTCTATGAAGTACCCAAAGGATTTTGAAGATTCATCAGTTACCAAACAAACTCCGGTCAAAATTCGTAAGGATATTCCATATTTTCCCCCTTTCTATCTTATCCTCAGTCTCTATAGAATTTCACAGATCTCATTTTGTTTTCCCCTTTTCGCTAATATATGACCATAAACCCCTATGTATTGTTTCAAATATTATCTTATCTTGTATGCAGCTTTCATGGAGGCCGCGCCCAAGATGAAGGGAAACGACGTCGTGTCGGTGAAATGCGAGTGCTGCTGCCTGACGGAGGAATGTACGGAGGAGTACGCGCGGCGCGTGCGGGACCGCTATTCAGGCCGTTGGATTTGCGGGCTTTGTGCGGAGGCCGTGAAGGACGAGATGGTGAGGTCGGAAAAAGGGATTGAGGCAGAGGAGGCACTGAACCAGCACATGAGTTTCTGCAGGAAGTTCAGGGCCCGGAGCCCGCCCGAGAACCCGACTGAGGATTTGATTGCGGCCGTCAAGCAGCTGGTTCTGAAGAGGCTGGACTCGCCCCGGCCCAGCCCGGAGGGGAAGCCCGTCATGGAATCGGGTTGTTTTGAGACTAATTGAATGTTAGATTCGAGTGGTTTTTGAAACATGGTTTGTGTTTTATATTGAATAATAATGTGGCTGCATTTTAAGGTTGCACTTAGTGATGTAGACTATGTTTGGCTTAAGATTGTTAAGGTAAAATTATTATTTTATGCATTGATTGTTTGTTGAGCTTGGATACTATTAGAGATGTTAAACCAAAAAGTTGTTCATAGGTTGGATAGGCTCGTAGAGACTTGAAAATGTAAAATTTTACGTAATGTTATATAGATCAGCTCATTAAGTCTCAAACTCTAACTCGACTTGATAAGCTCTCGAGCATTTGCTCGAGTGTCCGAAGCTCGGCTTCATCTACTTTATCATTCGAAGGGGAATCTTTTCCATGAGGAGAGAATATTGGAGACAAGATTGCGTTAGATTCGAGGGCGAATCATTTTCCAGGAGGAGGAGAATGATGAAGACGAGTTTGCGTTGGATTTTTTGAACAAGCATGATCATTCGACATCATTAGTTTAATCATTTATTTTTTTTATTTTATTATTATTTAACGTATTTAATTATTCTAGTCTTTTAAAAAGCTATTTAATTATTTTAGCTTGGTGGGGAAGTTGTTTCTTAGGAGTCCTATTTAAGACTCTTATGTTTAAGGGAGTTGAATTTTGATTGAAATAAAATATATTTAGATTTCTTTCTTGATTCTTCTCGATCGTTTTTCGCTATACCACCCCCAAAAGGCAATTAGGGCAATAAGCTATAGCCAAAAGTAAAAAGAACCCCAAAAAAAACATGGATGTATTTTAAATTTGTTTTATGGGTACATATGTTGTTTTAAGTTGAATAATTTTGTACTTTGTGATGTTGGGTTCATTTGTTCCGAGATGATGTGTAATTGCTCAGGAAATTGCAAGCAAAGAAGTACATTGAATTTAGACTTTGAAATCACAAAGAAAGAAAAAACACCAAAATGAATTTAAAAAGTAAAAAACCACTATTAATTTGAAATGAATCTAATGAATTGTATCGATAAACTGATTCTGAAGTGAATTTTAGATCCTAGATAAGTATTTTTTGAGCCACTAGAAAGAAAGAAAAAAAAAAAAAGTTATAGTGTATCAATTGCCTATCAAATGCAACGCTGGATACAGATTTGGCGTCTTATACATATGGACACTATGTATTTTTATTTGGAAAAACTTTATTTTCCAGTAAAAGAGAACAAATTTTGGAGATAAAATTACCGCTATCTCACTACGAATGGATACTAATTGTGTTGTTATTGTTATCGGTATATTGTTTATTTTACCACTAATACAACACGGTGTATCACACGAGTGGTTGTTAAAAAATTTAATCTTATTTTTAAAATTAATGAGAAAAAAGTGTTTTAAAATTGAGTTAATTGCTAAATATACCTCAACCTTTTTACATTTGGCAATTTTATCCCAACTTTTGGATAATCACTTTACTTATTGCAAGTTGAACCTTAAACCGATCGGACCTTCCAAAAACGCCAACGTGTCCGACAGCTTACACCTACGTGGATTTTCGACTTACTACGTGGATATACAAAAAATTACACATAGGCACCAGGCCAGTTTCAAAATTAGAAACAGACCCCACGTCTGTTTTGAATTTACAGATTTAACTCTGAGGTAAAATTATAATTAACTGAAATTTCTGAAAATTGCAAAACAACCCTTCATATTTGTCAAATTCTCAAAATCAGGTCCCTGCCCCGATTTTCCTTTTCTCCCGTCAGTTCAACCCTTGCCCGCTGCCGCCACGCATCTACCGTGGTTTCCGACCTCCAGCAAACCATCGTCGTCCCAGGCCGGCGGCTTCTCGCCGGAATCCCAGATTATTTTTTTAATGTTTGTCCGCCATTAATAGCGGACCGAGCTCGAAGCTTGATTTTCCCATAAGCCCAATTTTTTATTTTTTAATGTTTGTCCGCCATTAATGGCGGACCGAGATCGAAGCTTGATTTTCCCAGAAGCCCACAGCCATGGCGGACCAAGCTCGAAGCCTAGATTTTTTTTTTTTTGTAATGTGTGTCCGCCATTAATGGCGGACCGAGCTCAAAGATTGATTTTCCCAAAAGTCCACAACCACCATGAACCACCTCTACTCGGCTCCAAGCACGAACATCCATGGAGAAAGAGGGTCACGCGACGAGGCCGTCGACGACTGCATTAACCTTCAATTTGCCGCCCAGCGGCAGCGATGGTTGGCCGCGCGATTTTCGGCCACCAGGAACAGTGGCCTCAATCGCCGGCAGTGGCGTGACGGGAGATCGATGATCAGAGATGGGCGATGTGTGAATCGACGAGAGTTGCAATTCCAAGAAAAGTTGTATACGAACAGATTGAAACTAATTCCAATTTTCTTTTCTTAATTTCAGTTTAATTGACATTAAAATAATTTCTGTATATCCACGCAAGCCAAAAAATCCACGTAGATGTAAGCTGCCGGACACGCTGGCATTTTTGGAAGGTCCAGCCGGTTTATGGTTTGATTTGCAATAAGTAAAGTGAGGCCGAGATTATAATGCAATTATCCAAAAGTTGGGATAAAATTGTCATAGGTAAAAAGGTTGAGGTTTATTTAGCAATTAATCCTTTAAAATTTTATAATCATTTTTCTAATTTATACCATATACCTACGTTAAACATAAATATATTAATTAATAAATAACTTTATTTTTCTAGTTAATATTAATAAATAATAATATAATTATTATAAAGATAAATGTAATTTATTTATTTTATACACATAATATAGATGCCAAATTGAAGCTCATCAAGAGACGATTAATTTGATATATCGTATGTGAAAAACTCATAAGTAAATAGAAAAGTTATTAACTTTTAAAATATATTTACAATTCAATAGTTATAATAGGAAATGATATTAAATGCAATTTAAACATCTAAAATGACCGTAAATAATCAATATATTTATGGATAATGCGGAATTAGTTAATCTATCCAGACCAAATAATGAAACATGGAATCTATCTCGAAGCATGAGAATCTGCCACTTAAGCTCAACACATTCAAGAATATAAAGGAGATGATTATGGATTTTTCATTATTCTTATAAGTTGTATTTTTTATTCAATGATAAAAAAATCTCGCGCTAATAGAATGGAATGTCCCAAGTTTCATTATCACATAATAATTTGTGCTAATCTATATTTATATAATTAGTACGTACTCCGTGCGATGCACGTGACAGAGATATTAAATGAATTGTTTTCAGAGGCTCTGTCCGTTTAAGTTAAAAAAATTGATATGGTTATCATCTATTTTCCACCTCTTTTAATCAGCTTGTTAAGTCTAAAAAACAATAGGGTTATAATTTATTTTCCACCTCTTTTAATCATCGTTTTTTATACAGAACATAAATATGAGCATGTTAGGGCTAACTTGTAAAAATATATTATCTCACTAACACATTTATACTTATGGAAATTTGATTTTAGTATATATTTTTTCCTTGATATAAGAGAAAATAATAGTTTTGCTTATTCTTCTTCACTATATAATATTTGATTATTATTTTATTATAAACTTTGTTATCATATTGTTGATATCCGACCCGATAACAGAAATTGAAGATGAAGGTTAATCAAATTATTGAAGAAATAATCTCTCAAGAAGATGAACTTACTGCAAATCGGTATTATTAAGAACTAATTACCGACTTCTACATTGTTACCGACTTCATGTTACCGACTTCTATAGACTTTCAAAGGAACCGACATCTGAAGCCAATGCGAATGACCGATTCGTTCAATAAATATTACGACGAAATCAAGCCCCTCTATTTCAACCGACTACCACAAAGTCCAAATATTCCAACAGAAAGTAATCATTAGAAGCATCTGATTGGACCAACAAAACAAAAAGGCAATCATTGATGTTTCCCGCCGCTTCAAGTAAAGCAGTTCAACATTAAATGCATCTTTATCCATTTCAAGGAAGAAGACAAAAGCCACCGTACTATAAATAGCAAAATTTATGATAGTACAAGGATCTCTCTCTTTTCGAACACATGGAACACAGACTTATGATGATCTCGGTTTTCAACAAATAACCGACTTCTGTACTCGTGATTTAAACAAATAAAATCAAATAAAACAATTATCTTTGTTTTCTTTACATCAACTGTGTTTAATTTTGAGTTGTTAATTCAAGACAACAACACATATAATGACATTATTATTTATAAAAGTTATAGAAGTTGTACATCCTTTTTTCTTATTATTTTATGTACTGAAAAATATTTAATGCACGTTAGTTTTATTTATTTATGTAATTAATTATAAAATATGTAAATAAAATTAAAATTAAATAGTGTATAAATATTTTATAAAATATACATGCATGTTTTTTAGAATTTAATTTTGTAAACTAATTTAACTACTTTGATTTAGCAAATGCCAAAAACACAATCTCTTAAATAGTAAATTATATTAATTTGAAGAATAATTTATTTTTTTTTATATATAACGAAATAAAGCTTAAGAAAAAATTATGTTGGCAAAGATTCATTCACCAATTTGATTTCGCCTGATTAATTGGAAGAAAAAATTCTACCTAACCTGTTACGATTTCCTATAAATATTTTTGGATAAAAAGTGAATATTTATGAAGAAAATTAATACTATGGTTAGAACTTATAATATGCTATAATATTTATATTGACCAAAATATTATCAACATGAATCACAAAAAATCAATCTTGTAATTTATTATAATGAATCTATACTTATATTAAAGGGGGTACTATTTACCAAATTAAGTAGCCAAAAAAGTCAACAGCATTTATTGCATTACTATTTCCGTATTATACTATATAAAAGGATATTCTATTTACTACATTTACTATCCAGAAAAGTCAACTGCATTAAATGTCATTACTATTTTGGTATTATAATATTTTATTTAGTTAATTGATTTATTTATTTATTTTATTTTAAAAAGGTAAGTATAATAAAAATATTTTAATAATAAAAAAATTAAATACCAAATAAAAATGTACACTTTGACTTATTTGATTATATTTGGTATTTGATTATACTAAATATATTCCTATTTAGTATATACATTAAATATTTACTAAAGTATTTATTTGTTCTATTTGTCAAAGTTAAGTATAGATTTGTTTATATTATCAAATCATAAAAAAATATTAAATCCATATTGTAAAAAAAAAAAATCATATAATTTTATAACAATTCTACTACACTATTTAACAATATTTCTTTTTTATTATATAATAAAATAATAATTAAATATTATATGGTGAACAACAATAAGTAAAACTGTTACTTTCTCTTATATCAAGGGATAAATTTATATGCTAAAATTAAATTTTTATTAGTATAAATGTTTTAGTGAGATAATATATTAATTATTTTACAAGCTAGCCCTAACATGCTCATATTTAATGTTTTAAAAGATGTAGAAAAAAAACTTATAATAACTCTATTGTTTTTTAGACTTAAACGTTGATTAAAAGAGGTAAAAATT